GGCGAGGAGGGCGGAGGGGGCCAGCGGGATGGCGGGGAAGCGGCGCGGGGCGGCCACGTGAGAGCGGGAGCTTGAGGGGGGTGCCTGCAAGGTGCTGGAGGCGGAGAGCAGGCAGGGCTCCGGCATCCCCCCCAGACTCCCACCAATCAGGTCATGGGGAGCCCAGCAGCCTCCGACGCCCCCACCCGCCCACTCCCACACGAACGTGTGGGGACAAACAGCGGGCAGACATGTGACTCGGCCCATGGGACCGCAAAGCCAGGCCCGTCAGTCTGGGGCAGGACTCGTGTGTCCAGGTCGAGCGGAGGGGACAAGAAGCAGGCTTTGGCCCCAGTGTGTGTCCCCGGTCTTTTGCCGGGGCGCTGTCTGCAGACTCACTGCAGAGCGCAGGCCTCGGGGAGGGAGCGCTCAGGGGGCTGGGCCCTGATTCTCGGGACAGCCCCCTTCAGTCCCCACCCAGCTAGGGACGGTGGGTTAATAAGCACTTAGACCCAGGACCCCTGCCTGAGAAGAGGGGGGGGGCACCGATCACCCCTGAGTCAGGGACAGGGCCACACTTGGGCCTGGTGAGTTCCAGGAGGCTGGCCCCAGCCTATTGGCCTCTCTTGCATCTCCTCCCTGGCTCCAGCACTATCCCCGTTTATTTCGCAGCTTTTCTCCAGAAAGGGTTGATTTCTGCGAAGGGAGTGTGGCGTCCAGGAGAATCTGCAGGTAGGACACATCCTAGATACCTCTAAGTGGCCACACCCAGAGAGAGGTAGGGGACTCTTCTTGCATTCCTTGCCCTCTCTTCCTCCCCCAGGGTGCCCCCCTCCCCACCTGCTTGTGCTGGTTATGTAATTAACCCAGCTGAGGCTCTCTGCCAAGCTGACAGTGTCCAGGGAGGCCTGAGGGGCCCAGGGCCTGGAGGGATTTTTGGGGAGGAGGGACCGGTCCTTACCCCAGTGGGAAGCCCAGGGAAGTAGGTAAACACCTGTTGGGGAAAGGACACCACATGGGGCAGAAAGGAGATCAGGGTCCTAGTCTTAGTTGATAGCTCAGCTGGCTGTGTGGTCTACACTTCCCTGAGTCTCTGGTTTGGGGTTTCAGTTTTACTTTCAATAAAACAGGGAGAAGAGTCTCTCTCTCTCTCTCTCTCTCATAGACACACGCACACCACACTACATGTACGTGAGCAACAGTGGTTAGTGACCCTTCCTGGGATTGCTAGGAGTCCCGTTGAGATTTTAGAAAACCTCAGATAGATGAAGGATCCCTGTACCTAACTAACAGTGGCCCCTGTTGATTGCACACCTACTGTTGTGGGCACTGGGCTTTACTTTTCATGACCTTGCTTTCATGGCATCACAACACCCAACAAAGTTTCTTGCTCAAGGACACACTTTAGTTGGCAGAGCTGGGAGTCAGACCGTGGTGGGTCTCACCCCAAATCCTGCCCTATGTTTTACTATGCTGTATGTACACATACCCAGTGGACTGGATTTTCTGAGCCAGGCCAGACTGAGGGCCATTCAGTTGTGAACTGGGCAGATATGGAGAGAACACGCACCCACAGAGGAGACACGCACACATGCTGAAAAGCATGGCCCTGTGGGAATCCAGCACACCCATCTGCCCTGGGCCCACATAGCAGGCACTGGTGTCACCTCCTGCGAACAGTCCCTGGACAGGCGGTCTCAGGCTTATACCAGCCTCCCTGATCACCATCCCCATCAGAAGGAGAAGGCAGCTGGTTAGGAGGTTGACTTGGATTATCTCAGAAATAGGGGCTATTAGCCCCACTTTATATATGTGCAGAGCGTAGCTCAGATGGGGCCGGTGATGTGCTCTCGGACCACAGCTAGGAAACGTCATAGCTGGGGTTTTATACCTAAGCTCTAAAGTCACCAAAACTGACGAGCAAGGAGCGAACGAAACCAGAGCAAGGTGCAAGCCTGTAGCAGCCCTTTCCTGGGCACCTGCTGTGTGCCAGGCCCTCTGAGCTCGCGGGGGATGCCAGAGAATGAGACCTTGGTCTGTAGGCATGCACCAGCTAGAATCGCTGAACTTGGAGGTGGGAGGTACTGCAACGTTGTGGGGGGTTGGGTAGTTGCTGTAGCTTGCCATGTGCCCTTGGGCCCACTTCTCGCCCCCTCTTGAGTCTTCGCGAAAGTGGGAACACCTACTATCCCTGAGGGACACCGTCCTGACAATGGGTCACCATGTGCGTGTGCTAACATGAAGTACTCTATGAGTGGCAGGCTCTGGTCCAGGGTTCTCCACAGGGGGCATTTGGAAGTAGGGGATGTTTTTGGTCATCATGGTGACTGGAGCCGGCTGCTGGCTTGTACCTTCTAGCAGCAGGGCTGTAAGACGGCCTGCCCAATAAAGAACTCTCTCCACAAAATGCTGGGAGCACCTCCATTGAGACACACTGGACTCGGCTCCCTCCCCATCCCCAGGCTCTGTGGGGAAGCTTGGGGAGCTTGGGGAGCTTGGGGAGGTCAGACCTGGCCAAGAAGTCATAATATAGGAAAGAGTGATTCCCACCGGTGGGCGGGTGGTGCGGGGGCGGGGGGGGGTGGACGGAGAAGGGAGGATGGAGAGGCTTGAGATGCAGCTAGGCGTTCTGGGAAACGGAAGGCATGCCGAGGGGCAGTAGCAGCTGCAGCCGAGTCCCCGAGGCGGGCAAGTACAGGACAGATCCAGGGAAACGCGGGCCTACCAAGCCCACCTCTTGTCCCCACAGTCCAGGTGGAGGCCGCAGAGGGCCCAGGGCAAGCAGGGGCAGCAATGGTGGGTCCTGACGGTGGCTGAGCCCCCAGCCCCTGGAATATGCAGCCCGGGGGAGCCCCAGGCAGCGGCGAGGACACGGTGGCGGAGCGGGGCGGGAGGCATGGTCTCCACCTACCGGGTGGCCGTGCTGGGGGCGCGAGGCGTGGGCAAGAGTGCCATCGTGCGCCAGTTCCTGTACAACGAGTTCAGCGAGGCCTGTGTGCCCACCACTGCCCGCCGCCTCTACCTGCCTGCCGTCGTCATGAATGGCCACGTGCACGACCTCCAGATCCTCGACTTCCCACCCATCAGCACCTTCCCGGTCAACACGCTGCAGGTACGGGGCCCACTGGATCGGCCAGCCGGGGAGTCGGGGGGCGGGGCTGGGAGGGGGAGCAGAGAAGCTGGACTCCCACCTTTTCTGGGCTCTGGCCCCGTCCCCCATCCTCTGGCTCCGAGGGCTCCGTGCCGCACCCTGGGCCACCCTGCTCAGAGCCGTCATCTGTGCGCCGTAGGTCACGAGCATGTAATGTGTGGTGGGCTGGGCACCAGGGTAGAACGGTGCGCAAAACAGATGTGCGCTGCGCTCTCCAGGAACCACGCATCTAACTCAGAGTCCAGGGAAGACAAGCAGGCTGTGCTTCCATAGGACAGTAAGTGTGTGCTTGGTGGCCTTGTGTCCGCTAAGTGGGACTGGGCAGGGAAGGGGCAGTGGAAAGAAGGGCAGGAACACTAGATGCCTGCCAGGATTCTGGGCTCTCAGACCCACGGCGTCTGTAGAAGGGACAGCAGAAGAAAAAGCCAGGGCCTGGGAAAGGTGGGCTCTCCAGGGCGGGAGGCCCCAACCAGTCTTTTATCCAATGGCCTTTCTTTAAGTGATGCTCTGCCCCTTGACCTCCGGACTGGTGCATGGGGCAGCCTTCCTGCAGGGGTTGGGTTCTGGTGCCCCCAGTGCCCTGGCTGATAGTGTTCCTTTCCCCAGCCTGCAGGAACCACCAAGTCCTCCTTCCCTCAATCTCTCTGCATCTGGCTTGGCAGGGGAGAGGCTGCAAGTGGGGGCTCAACTCTAAGACACATTTGCTCACCTAAGGAAGCCCCTGACCAGAGCGCATTCATAGGTTTCTCTGGAAGGACAGGCAGGGGCCACGGCTTGGCTGATTGTGACCACAAAGCCAGCCATCTCTGGGGCAGGGGCTTAGGCTCAGTACCATCTCGGCAACTCTGGGCAGGAGAACCGTGGCCCAAGTTCAGGGACACTTGGCAGCCCCGTCCCAGGTGTGGGCAATCCACACCAAAGACAAAAGCCCGACCCACACATCTGCCCCTTGGAAACCATGAGGTCGGGGCCGAGTATCAGGGGTCAGGGCCTTGTGCTTCTCCTCCGCAGGGGACATCAACAGCGCTCAAGTGGATCCGCAGACCTCATTCCAGTCTTGCTCACTGAGCCTTGCTTACTTTTTCACATTTTGTTGTAGATTAAATTTTAATTTAATTTCAGTTTTGGAATCCGTAAGACACAGTTTAAAAGTCCAAGCTTTGTAAAAAAAAAAAAAGAAAGAAAGAAAGAAAGACCCAGAGAAATCCCAACTGTAAAAAGATACACCCAGAGAAATCCCAGTCCCGCCCTGCCCTCTTCACCCTGATTCTCACCCCCTCTCGATGGCCATCCTCACTGGTTTTTTATTTACACTTCCAGTTTCTTTAGACAAATAAGAAAATGTGTTATTCCATTCCCTTTCTTACGGGAAAAAGAAAATTGTGCTCCACCTGGGCTTTTTGCCTTACATTATAACCTGGAGATCTTCCCCGAATGTTAGTATCTGAATGTGGGTAGCATGGTGGCACTGACCCCCCCCCCCGGAGAGATGGACCATGGAGTCCCCTTTTGTTAGACAAGTGGGTTGCTTCCTGTCTCCCACACCGATAGCCTTGTCCATTGTCTCTCTGCACACAGGGAGGCGTATCTGTGGAATCGAGCCCCAGAAATGGCAGGGCTAGGTCAAAGGATGAATGCAGCTGGATTTAGAAGGGGAGGTTTCCCTCCCCTTCTAGGAAGTTGCATATTTTGTGTTGTTGCGAGAGCACCGTATGTGATGAGTGCATGTTTCCCTAAAGCCTTGCCATCAGAGCGTATTGTCCAACTTTGGGGGTTCTGACAGTCCTATAGATGAGATGTGATATTCTCGGTGGAGTTTTGGTTTGTATCTCTGATGAGGACTGAAACTGAGCATCTTTTCATAGGCTTAAGGGCTTTTGCGTTTCTTTTTCTCACAACTATTAATGACTTTGTCCATCTTTTCTTTTGAGTTGTTGCCCTTTTTCTTCCTGATTGATCCTGAGTTTTAGACTCTCCTGGATATCCTGGAGCACAGGAAAGGGACTATGAGCAGAGGAATACTGAGAAAGGAGCCTGCATGGCCAAAGATCAGATATAAAAGCTAAGACTCTCACGGCCACTGTCCGAAGAGAAATACACGCTTTCTCAAGGCCAGCTGAGAGGCAGCCCAGGAGAGTGGTCTGAGCCTCAGCTCTTCCCCCTACAGCCCCTTTCCTGTCAGAGGAGGAAGCTGGGGTTAGAGAAACGAGCAACAAATGCAGGGTCAGCACCTAGGTGGCCGAGCCTCCCTCAGCTCCTGGGTCCTTAGAACTGGACTCAGTATCCACTGCTCCTTCTCTGCCTTGACACAGCCCCAAGATGGTGGCTTACAGTCTGGAACCCTGCACAGAGCCAGCTGGAAGGAAAGCTGAGCTTACCTGCTCCCTCCCTTCAATCAGGGGTGAAGGCACAACCCAGACAATCAGGAGCCTTCCTCCTCCCCATCTTAGGAGCCCCCAGAGAGCAGGAAGGAAGGCAGCCTGGAGGCCCCCTGGAGGAGGCAGCCTGTGGGGGGAGAGGTGGGGCGGTCACCCGGCAGCTGTCCCGTCTCCCCAGCAGAGAGCTGGAAGAAGCTGGGAGCCTCTGTGCCTGTTTCCCCATCGCTCCCACTTCCTGCTGATCTCCATTCCTTGAGGGGGTGGGGGGAGGAACCCCGTGCACCTGGGGGGGGCACCCAGGCTCCCAGAGGGCACCTCGTCCAGCAGAGTACAGTCTTCCCTGCTTCCCTGACCCGAGAAGCCAGCCCCTGGTTCCCGACGGCTTCAGATTTGTCCCCGGCATCTTCCCCCTGCAGCAAAGTTACAACTGAGCACAAAGAAAAGATGCCACATCATCTCCCAGGGGAAATTCACTGCAGCCTTTCAGTCGGGAGCTTTTCTGGAGCCAGACTGAACTCTCCACCACACCGGAGTCTTTCCTCTTGCGCTCCTGCTCTGAGGTAGAGAGCCCAGGCACAGCCCTCCAAGCCTGGCGCCTGCCTCAAGGCAGCTCAGAAGCTGGCGGGCACAGGCCGGCACACCCTCCTGCTTGCCCGGGCCCCCAAGGGAGAAGACCCTGGTTCCCTGTGTCCTTGGAGGCCTCGCCCTCCCCCAGCTTCAGAGACCCCCTTCTTTCCACACACTGGCTGCCTTTAACTGCTCTTGCATGTGCCATCTGCTGGAAAGTTAATCAGCTAATTCATCTCTTAGGGAACCTTCTCTCTAGTACACTCAGCCTTGCCGGGGGCTTGTTCCTCTGGAGCGGCTGCCCCTCCTCGAGAATTCGCCATAAGCATTCAGGAAGCTCTATCTCCCCGGCGCTGCCCTTGGGCCCTGGTCTAAGTCAGCCCCCACTGTGCAGCCAGTCTCAGTCTTTTTCTCCTCGGGACTTTCTCCTTCTCAACCCTGAGGGCAGCGTGGAACAAACAGAAGGGGCAATTCCAGGGAGCAATCTAAGGGCAGTGCTATAGGCCGGAGTTGCATGGATCCCGGCATGGAACAGGTGGGGTTCAGGGCCACAGAGAGCTCACCAGCCTAGGTAGTACAATTAAAGAGCCTGCTAAGAGCCAACACAAAAAACAAGGAAGGCCTGGCTCTGGCCCTCGCAGGAACTCACAACAGAACGAGGGAACTGGGATAAGGTAGAATCAGAGTGTTCTTAGCACACAGGAAATGAAGGGAGTAGTCCCCTGCTTGCAGGAAGGCTCCCTGGAGGAGGAGGTGGCTGGGGGCGAGGGGTGCCCTCAGGGTTGCTCTGACCTTGGCACTGGCTGGGGGTGTAGCAGGAGTGGCCAAACCAAAACTCCACCGAGAATATCACATCTCATCTATAGGACTGTCAGAACCCCCAAAGTTGGACAATACGCTCTGATGGCAAGGCTTTAGGGAAACATGCACTCATCACATACGGTGCTCTCGCAACAACACAAAATATGCAACTTCCTAGAAGGGGAGGGAAACCTCCCCTTCTAAATCCAGCTGCATTCATCCTTTGACCTAGCCCTGCCATTTCTGGGGCTCGATTCCACAGATACGCCTCCCTGTGTGCAGAGAGACAATGGACAAGGCTAAACTGGAAGACGGAGGATTTCAACAGATCCAACAACTAGTTCAGAGGGCTTGGCTCTTAGAGGCAGGCACTTAATACCTGCACTTGAACAAAGGACCAAGCATATGGATGAATGCATGAATGGGTTGGGCGATAAAATGAGACAAGGCAGATCTCAGCTCCAGATGTGCACAGGACAGTGAGTGCCACGGCTCTGGGGGTCAGGCAGCGTGACCTGCCCTATCCTGGCTTGGAGGTGGGGAAGCCGCTGCACCGAGCTCCTCTATTCTGCTCTGGACCAGGCCTCCTGGGGATGGGTGGGTGTGGGAGGCTTGGGGTGCAGTGGCAGGTGGGAATGCCGTCAGTCTATGGCTGGAGGTGGCTGGGGGCGAGGGGTGCCCTCAGGGTTGCTCTGACCTTGGCACTGGCTGGGGGTGTTGCAGGAGTGGGCAGATGCCTGTTGCAGAGGACTCCGGAGCGTCCACGCCTACATCCTGGTCTACGACATCTGCTGCTTTGACAGCTTTGAGTACGTCAAGACCATCCGCCAGCAGATCCTAGAGACGAGGTGAGGGGCCAGGATATAGTCCATTACCACCTCAGTGGGTGCCCCAGTGCTAACCACTGCCCTGGAAACGGTGCAAGGGCGGGGAGGGTGGGACATTGATGAAGTACCCTCTAGTTCCGGCACACACATTCAAACATACACATTTTACTGTCCCCATTTCTAATAACACACTTTGGGATTCTTACCACGGGGTGGCTGGCTAGTCTAATGCAGTGGTTAAGAGCAGAGGCTCTGGGAACAAAACTGCCAGGGCCACTCACCTGCATCACTTTAAGCCAGTTAACAGATAAGCCTCAGGTTCCTCATCTGTAAGATGGGGATAACAGTTGTACCCACCTTTTAAATCAGTTTTGATTAGAGCATGTAAGGCACCCCGAGCGCTGAGCGCTGCGCCTGGAACAGAGGTATGGTGGTAGCAGTACTGACCAGGCAGGCACCGCCCGCCCTTGAAGTCCGGGGGTTGTGAGACCGGCCTGCGGAGTTCTGAGAGTCCCCGCCACCCCACAGGGTGATCGGCACCTCAGAGACGCCCATCATCATCGTGGGCAACAAGCGGGACCTGCAGCGCGGGCGCGTGATCCCGCGCTGGAACGTGTCACACCTGGTGCGCAAGACCTGGAAGTGCGGCTACGTGGAGTGCTCGGCCAAGTACAACTGGCACATCCTGCTGCTCTTCAGCGAGCTGCTCAAGAGCGTCGGCTGCGCCCGCTGCAAGCACGTGCACGCCGCCCTGCGCTTCCAGGGCGCGCTGCGCCGCAACCGCTGCGCCATCATGTGACGCCGCGCCGCCCCGGGGACTGCGGGGCTCCGGCGGGGGGCGCGGGGGGCGGGGAGGGGGAAGGACCCTGACGCGCCCGGCCTGGCCCGCCCCCGCAGCCGCGCGCCTCGCGGGGAGGGGCGGAGGACGAGAGGGAGCCTCCTGCAACTGCCCGGCCCAGTCCCTCTCCGCGTCCGTCTTCCTGGGCCCGCCGCCTTTAGTGCTGTAGCTAGCGCCGTGCCCGGGCCGGGCCCCAAGGGGCGCCTTGGCCTTTTGGGATCGCGAGGGTGAGCGCGGGGCGTGGGGGTGGGGAGGTGCTGCCTTGGCCGGGGCCCCCACCCGTCTACTCCAGAGAGTGTGTCTGTCATTGCCCTGCGTCTTCTTTCCCCGTGTCTGTCATCCCAAGCGTCTGTTGGTCCTTAGCTGTCTTATCCACCCTCCTGCCCCCAGCTCCGTTCACAGGGCTCTCATTTCGTTCATCCCCTTGTCGCAGATCCTGGCAGCTTCTCTGTGAGGCCAGCCTTTGGACCGTCAGCACCACCGGCACAGGGCAGAGAGATGCGGGTGGCCCAAGGACCGTAATCGGGGTCCTAGGGTTGAGGTCCCAGGTCAGTCAGGAGGAGAAAGGCTGAGCTCTCCCCGTTCCAGGGAGATCTCCCCGCCCAGCAGCCCCCAGAGACACAACAACTTACCTTCCAGCCTTAACTCGATGGTCCATCCCTGCCGGGTGCCCCTCATCCCCTTCCTGACCCCAAAGCCAGATCACCCCCTGGGTTAAAACTTTTTTTTTTCTCGACGGGAGCGTGGAGAGGGAATCCCCCAAAGGATAAAGTTATTTCCACGATGCCAGGTTCCAGCCCTCTATTCCCTCCTGCGTTGGGTGGTCTGCAAGATTGGGGGATGTTGGGTTTTGGGGGCTGGTGGTGGGCAAGATGGTGTCCCGGGGTTGGGGGAGAGCGGTTAGGTTGCGCTAGTAAAGACTCTTATTTCCCCATCCCACTCCAATCTGAGTGCCCTAGACCCTGCCTGCCTTGAATCTCAGATTTCTCTGATAAATCTGGGGAGGGGCAGAGCCACTAAAAGAATTATGGGGACCCTTGTGCTTGAGGGAGATATGCCCACACCCCCACCCCTATATAGAGGCCCTCAGGATCTGATGCCCCCCTTGTCCCAACACCAGTTTGGCCCTATGCCCTGACTCACTCCACCCCATTTTCTCCGGCTGCCTGGCCGGTTTCTACCTCTCGTCACCGGAGCTGATCACTGTCAGTTTTGTACCGATTTAGAAATAACAAAATCCATGAAGATACTAGGAGCGGCCTGAGGGATTACTGGGGTACTTGGAGAGTGGGAGCAATGGTGCATGTCCCCTGCCCCTGGCTGAGTTTTCCTTGAGGCTGAGTCCTGAGCCCTGGTGTGGTGGGAGGATAGGAAGGTCCGTTGTTAGAAGAGGGGCAGATAGATCAACCCAGCCTCCGTGTAGCCCAGCTGCAGTGTGTAGACCAGAAAATCAGGTAGCCCAGAGTGGTGATGGAGCAGAGTCTGGGGGGGGAGGGGTCATGGGTAGGGAATTTATCCAGATCCAATGTGAGAAGGAATCTGATCCTCCCTTCCACTTCCCCAGCTGATTCTCCCTCCACCTGTGGGGTGTAGCACAGCCCTGCAGTGACTGCCCTGACCTTGGCGGTCCAGTATGCCTGGATTCTAGTCCCTGCTGTGCTGCATGACTTTGGGCAAGTGACCCGCCCTCTCTGAGCCTCCCTCTGAAACAGAGGAGGTGGCTCCCCTTCCCCACACCTTGGAGTGTCTGGGAGGGTAAGGAAGAGGGCCTGCCCCCTTTTATCCCCTGCATCCCTGCCCCCTGGTTCACCAGGGGGATGGGGTGAGGGATGGCAGCATCTCACCTGCCCCCATCAGTGTCACCCCCAGCTGAGGCACCTGAGGTGGGCATGGGGAACCCAGGCCTCTGGCTGCCCCTTATGGGAGCCATTAGAATGTATCGCCTGGCCGGCCCCCCTCACTCCCTCCACTGCACTCCAGGTATTTGATTTTGATTCCCTCCACCCCCATTCTGAGTCTCTGTCCTCCCCACTCCCCCCCCCCGGGTTTCCCACCACAGGGTCTGGAAGTGTGTGTGATGCCCATTGCGCTGTGATCGGAAGTCAGATTAAAAATCAGGGAGTGTTTTCCCTTGTTTCTGTACAAGGTGTTGGCTCAGTTCCTGCCCTGTGAGGGAAAGGGCTCCCCTACAGGGCCTGCCTGCTGAGCTCTGCTGTGGAAGGACCGTCAGGGCGATGAGGTTGCTCTGAGTCCCAGAGCCTGGGTCAACCAGGAGAACTAAGAAGAGTTTGGGACTCACCTCTCCACCTAGCCTCTGAGCCCTCCCACGCTGAGCAAAAACACTGGAGGGGGAAGTGAAAGGTCTCCCCCGGCCACTCCCGGGAAAACTTTCATAACTGGACTCAATCCCAGCTCCTGCTGCTGCCTCTTTGTTCCCACTTGTGGCTGAGCTGCTGTGGCCCATTCGTGGCTGTAGATGTGATAAGAACACTCTCCACCATCCCTCTTGACTCCCAGTGATCTCAGTTCCCAAAATCCAGAGCAAAGCTTTGAAGTCCTTGAAGGCCTGTGTGTGTCCCTGTCCTTGGTGCTGACACACCAGCGGCTTCCAGGAGAGAGCGGCTGTCTGGCAAGGTTGGCGGAGCCTCAAGAGAAGAAACCTCTCACCCCCACTCCTTGTCCCTCATCCTCTTCCACTCCAGTAGGTAACGCCTGAAGCTATTCCTTCCTGCACCTGGGAAAACGCTTGAAACTGTGCCTTCCTGCACCACCACAATCCTCGAGTGAGGGACTCAAGAAGTCTGGGGCTCTGAAACACACCTACAAGTGTTTAATAACTTACAAGAGTTGTGGAAATGGTGGCCATAGCCAGAGGCCAGGAGTTTGGGGAGCTGTTCTGGGGGGAAGCAAGAAGACATAGGGTGGCCCCGGTGCCCCGGGAGTGGGAGTGAGGGGTTGCCCCTTTGCCCAACAAGCAGATTGAACCTATATTTGTCTTCTGACCCCACCCACACCCTCTCCCCTGCCAAGGCCCCTCTGTTCCTGCAGCTGAGAGTCCAGTGGATACATGGCATCTTTTTCACCTCCCTTCTCCCCCGGACTCACAAGCTCAAGGCTGGGAAGGCTCCTCCTCAGACCCAGGACTCGTCCTCTGGTGGGAGTGGGGCTTGATCAAGCTGCTGGAGACCTATGCCCTCCAAAGGCTGGGGGCTGCTCTTCAGTGGGGCAGTTGGTTCTTCCCTCTTCTTTCCTTCCTCCTCCTTCCCTGCTGAGGCTCCATCCACCAGGGTTGCCCCCACTCCCTTTCTGCCCAGTGCTCTCACCAGCCTGCCCCTTGAGGGTGCCCTGGCTGAACCCAGGTGGAGGTAGGCCAGTGGCCTGGGGATTCGTGAAGGCTGCTTCCCAGGTCTGTGGTCTCTCCGGGGCCGGATTCTGGGCCTCAGCTTCAGCTTGTAGATGGATGGGACTCTCTGGGGCTTTCGGAGTGTTCTCTTGGCCTTGCCTGGACATGCCTGGGTTTTGTCAGAATTGGGGTCTGAGGGTGAAGGTGTGGGGGCTTCCAGGCTGGCAGACACAGTGGGGGCTGAGCAGTCCTGCCTTCCTTGAGCTGGTCCCTTCTTCATCCCGGTACCCTTGGCACTCAGGCTTGCCTTTACCTTTGGCCCACTCTCTCTGACTCCCGGTTTCCCTTTTGGGCTTCCTGGTCCAGTGGTAACAGATAGCTTAGGCGAGCCTGTAGAGGCTGCCTTCCAGGCTCCCAGGTCCACTTTAAGGAGAGGTGGGGGTCCCTGAGCCAGTTCTTGGATGACTTTGTCATAAGGACCCCCAGGCTCAGGCCACCGCCCACCTAGGCTGGGGACGTAGACTCCACTTCGAGGGATGACTCCAGACCCTGTGCCCTGGGGGCAGGCACCCCCCACCTCTAGCAGCTTCATGTTGGCCAAAAGCTCCTCCTCAAGACTATGGTAGATAGCTTGATCCTTGGTTGCACCCAGGGGCAGGGGAGGATATCGCTCCTCCCACTCCTGTGGGCCCAGGCCCCAGGGTCCCCCAGCTTTTGCTGTCACCTGGATGTCCAACTTCTGGTCCCCTTGTCTCGCATCCGCAGAGAAGTCCCCATGTCTGCACCCAGCCAGGTCCCCAGGGACAGCCCTTGGGAGGGGGCCACACCCCAATTCTGTCATGGGACCTCCGCCTGCAATACCTGGAAAGCTGCTTCCTGGAGTGGGGGGGCAGGCAGGGGGCAGCCAGACAGGGATCTTGGCGGGCCCTTTAACAGGGGACAGAGAGCGGACAGCTGCTGGCTCCCTGAGCTGGGAAGAAGAACCCTCAGCCTCACCCCTGGGTGGTGGCCTGAGGCCCATGGGCTTCGCTGGGCTGGAGGAATGAGGCGGCGGAGATAGTCCTCTTGCTGGTGTCCTTTTGGCGGTGGCTTCGGGGGCTCGGAATCTCTGGGAGGTGGGGGCCCTAGCATGAGCTCCCTGGCTGTCTGTCTCCTCATGAATCCAAGATGTGGGAGTCCTTCCTCTGGGATGTTCAGAGGAGTATCTCTCCTCCCTCTTCCCTGAGGAGGTGCACCGTGGGTCTCGGCCCCTATGGGGGGATGAGGAGTGGGGGCTGAGTGGGCTGTCCCCCACTGGCAGCTGCCTCCAAGACGGGGTGGGTGACTTCTCCTGGTGCCTGAAAGGGAGAATCATGAGGCTGGCAGGATCATCTCATCCAGTCCCCTGGCTCTGGGAAGGGATGACTTTCCCCAGCCAGAACACCAAGGGGGCCGGACTTCATGTTGAATGAAACAGATGCTCTCTGTCCCTCTGGGCCCGCCCGAGTCTTCCTTATGACAGATACTGTTCAAGTTTACTCTCCCTCATTCCCCAGTGTAGCAGCTAGAAGCCTGGTTTGGACCCCGGGTTACTTCAGGTCCCGCAACTTCAGCTCACCAGTCTTGGGGGAGGGGGCGTTTGAGTATCTGTCCTACTGTGAAATGGCAGAAGATCCTTGGGAAATCTCTATGGGCCTTTATGGGCCTCAGCCTCTTCATCTGTGAAATGGGAGGGCATACGAAAAAGCTAGATGATCCCAGTGGTACTGAGTGCCTTTTTGGTTCGAACACCTGGGGTAGGGGCACCGTTTGGAGACCTGCTTCCCGTATATTTCTCTCTGAGAATGTGGGCTCCAAAGAAGAAAGAGACCCTGCTCTGGCCCTCTCCCTTGTACCTCAGGAATGATGCTGTCTCTCTGGGCACTCCCGCCTCTGTTCCCCATTTACTGTGGGTTCTAGGGGTGGAGGAGGTGGGGGGCCTCAGCTTCCGGCCTGAAGAGGTATATGTCTTCCAGTCCACGGGGGGCAGCGGGCTCTGGGAACGGCTGATAGTCATCGTTGGTTGGGGCTGCGAGGGCCCATCCTGCACCCTCACCTCATGCTGCACCGGTGGGGCAGGGGGCTTCTGGAAACTGCCCGCCTTGTGTGCTACCAACACAGCCCCCCCAAGAAAGAGGAGAGGGGGAAAGGGTTAAATTCCTGCTGATGGGGCCCACTGTTCTCCCCTAGCTGTCCCATGCCCCAAACCCACATTAGAGACAGTACGACCTACAGTGGCGGTGCCAGGACTTCCTTATAGGGGCGCAGGGGACAAAATCTGGTCAGAGGGCCCAGCTCGGGGACTTGTTTAAAGCTGCATTTGTATTGCAAGTTCACATTTTTTACTTGGATGGCATGCTTATTTGGGGTGGCTTGAGGTACTAATAGAGATTATGGGGGGACTAAAGACCCCTCCAAGTCATACTCGGTGTCCCCACTGTGGACATCAGAGCCAGACCTCAGCCCTGTCAAGAGGCACCCTGACCAAATGCGATTCTATGTGTTTGGCGCCATCTTGTGGCTATGATTGGTATTGCACTGTGGTTGCCTCGCTTTCTTCCTACAACTGAGGCTATCATACCAGTACCTTTTTTTTTTTTTTTAACACCAGTACCTTCTATGGTATCTTCCTTTCTCCATATTTCTTGCCCCTGGAGATCAGACCTACCTCCTACCTCTGCTTCTGGCCTCCCGACCCAAAGCCACAGGGAAGAGACTCTCAGGGGACTCACAGAGGGACGTGCACCGGCAGGGGTCATGTTTGTCCAGATAATGGCTGAGGGTGTCCCAGCCGCCCCCCACGCGCACCATCACGTGGTTCCGGAGGATCTGTAGGGGACAAGGATGAGGTTGGGGGCGGGATAGAGGGCGTCCCCTCTTCCTGGAGCAGCCTGCACTTTTCCAGCATGCACTCCTATCCATGTACACATGAGCACGCAGGTATTCCTTGCACAGGTGTATTGTGGGGGGGTGTATTGTGCAGCCTGTCTCTCCTCCACAACTAGCATCGGATAACACATGTTGTCAAGGGTGGCGGCCAGGCTGACAGAGAGTTGCCCCACAACTAGACAAGGGATCTCACAAGCACTGTGCAGCCTGGCCCTGGAGCACTCTCTTCTCTCCCTTCACTGGAAAGGGATTTCCACCTGCACATGCCTGTAGCAGAAGCGTGGCCCAGGGGCACCTGGATGGCTCAGTCGGTTAAGCATCTGACTCTGAATTTTGGCTCAAGTCATGATCTCAGGGTTGTAAGGTTGAGCCCCACGTGGGGCTCTGCGCTGAGTGCGGAGCTTGCTTGGGATAGTCTCCCTCTGCCCCTCTCCCCCCACCCCGCCCTTGTTCTCTCTCTCTCTCAAAAACAAAACAAAACAAAAACAAAAAAAGTGGCCCTGCTTTGCTCTGTAGCGGGTATGTCAAGGAATCTTGGGAGTGCCATCCACTCCACTCTGGGACTCTGGGGCAGGTCACAGTCTCTCTCAGGCTTCCCATTTCCTCAGCTGAAATTCCTTGTCCCTACCTACGAGCTGGCTCTGTCCCCGGGTATGGCCTGCGATCAAGGAGAGGGCTTGGCCACGCCTCTAGGTACAATCTGTTGCCCGTGAGGCGTGGCCGGGTATGAGGGGCGGGCAGTGAGAGGCACATCTCAGACCCCTACTGCGGATCACTCTGCAGGATGTACCAAGCCAGACATGGGAAGCCTGGACTATGGGGCCCGTGTGGGCTGGGCTGTGCACTGAACACAAACTTGGAGTTCTCAGGCCCCTTGCTCTGACCAAGCATGTGGATGGAGTGGAGGCAAAGGACATTCAGGAGTACCCTTCATACTCTATTTCTGCCTGGACACCCCTCTGCACTAGGCTAAGGTGGAGCGGATGGGGGCAGGGTTCTGGCTGCCCTAATAGGAGGAGGGGATAGGATTGCCAGCTTTGCCAACTATCTTCTGGGAATTCCGCAAGGGAGAGAAAGAAAGCCCCAAGTCCTGATAGGTTGGGGTGAATGGTGACTTCCTGTCTTTGCCCTCAGTCCTGGGCAAGGTCCCACGAAAGGCAGCGCTATTCTGCTGATCCTGGGGACACCCCAAGTCTGGTCCCCAGACTTACCCGGATGAAGATGAGGGTGTTGGAATCCCCCACGCGGTACTTCCCCTCAGACACTTTAACCATGGAGAACTGAACTGGGCACGTGCAGCGGCTCACGAGGCTCTGAACCTGTGGGCAGTGACAAGGGGCTCAGCCCTCCCTCTGCACAAGTGCCCAAGCTCCTTATCCCCCACCCTGGGTCAAGCTCGATGAGGGGGAGCCTGCCTGTCCCCCAGAGCCAGCCTCCAGGCTTCTGCTGAGGTCAGGGCTGGAGGCTGAGAAGCAAGTGCATAAATGACCCAGTGACATCGAGACCTCGAGTGGTCACTTATAGTTCCGTGGCCTTGTGGGTCAGCTGACGGAGGCAGTGGAGTGTGATGATGTGGAAGGTGGACCCTGGAATCTGACGGGCTTCGGCTGGAGTCCTGCCTCCACCACACATAGGCCTTGGGCAGGTTAAGAAACCTCCCTGAGCTCTATTCCTGGGCGGTAGAAACGGGTTAATCCCAGCACTCTCCTATGAAGCGCCCCCTCCGTGCCAGACACTGTTCCGAGTACTTCATATGCGCTGGCTCATTGAATATTCAGCAGCCATGGAAGGTAGGTACTATTACACCTCCACGCTACAGATGAGGGAACTGAGGCACAGAGAGGTTAAATAATGTGCCCCAAGTCACACAGCCGCGGAGCAGTGGAACTAAGCCTTGAACCGAGGTGTCAGAGACGGTGCCAGAGGCAGTGTTCTCAAAAGTCGCGCGGCGGGGCTCAGTGAGAGAGGTCTAGAGCGCGGGATTGTAATACAAACGTAATAAGCGGCTTAGCTGGGCCGATACGTGATGAGGCTTGAGGCTCCGAGGGGAGCACGACTTAAGCAACGCCGCACCGAGAATTCAGTCGGGGGGGG